AGCCAAGCACTCGCGGAAGCTTGGGCTTTTCAAGTGATCTGTGAGATCTGCTGTTTGCTTAGCCATGGCAGAGCCGCAGTTGGAGTCCACGACGATTCCTGATGCAAACAGCGCCCTGCGCACGGAGTTCGAAGACTGCTTGCAGGAGGTGCTCGCGCATCAGGTTTTTGACGGCATCCAGACGGAGATGCCCTTGGGAATCGGCAAAAACGCCACCGGCGGCGGGACACAGGCACGGGTTCCGAATGCGCCTGTGGGCATGTAGAAACTGTCTTGGGCATCACGTAGCTTTGTGGCACTTCCAGAGTTCGCATGTGCGCACGCAGCCGTGCAATATTAGTCTCCAGACTGCTGTGTAGCAATAGCTGTGTGCAGTTGAGCCCGGGTGGTGGGATGCATGGTTGGCCCTCCCCTGCGAATGTGCAGAGCACAGGCACAGAGTTACACTTGAGACACTCGCAATCGGGAAGCCCTCGTCTCATCAGCCAGGCATGCCCCCTCCTGATGAGATGAACGGGTTGGGCTCATCAGCCAGGGACGTCCCCACCTGATGAGAGACTGTGTGTTTGGGAGATGCAGCCGTAGTAAGATTTTGGACTCCCTGTTGGCAAGCGTCCTCCGGAAAAGGCCCGTGGAGCCATCAGGAGGGGAAGCCCCCAGCTGATGGCTCTAAGGGCTCGGTCAATGACCGTCCTTGATGAGTGGAGGGGTTGCGTTCCACCCTCCCGGCTGAGTAACCCGGGCAATGAGGCAGACCCCTTGTCCCCATCAGCCGGGGCAGTCCCCAGCTGATGGTGTGGTGGGTGTGGGGAGACAGGCCGTGCCATCAGTGCGACCGAGTACCAACACGGGAGAGCGGATGAGGGAGTTCTTTCGGATGAGGGTGTGAGGTCTCTGAGATTATGGTACGAGATTGTGCATGGCGCAGGCTGCTTTCGACCTCCCCACCTGCGACGATGCACTGGCCAGTCGCGGCCTTTACAAGGCAGCGGGGAACATCTTTTGGATGAACGTGCGGCGTATGAGTAATGCTTCGGTCCCAGTTTACAAGTCCAACATCACGAAGCTCATGACGGCTTTCTTCAGTACACCTGATTGCTTCCCCTACGATGTGCACGTGGCCTTGGATTTGAAGGCCAAAGGCGACGACATCCTGCGCAACCGGGGGTCCCTCCACCGGCTTTCGTGCGAGGAGGTTGAGATGGCCTACGTCATGAAGGTGGCTGAAAGAATCAGGGCTGGTGCCGAGAATGCCGAGCTGAGGCTGCTTGTCTGCTTGCTCCGTCTATAGTTACAGTTGTTTTGTGCCCTTGCTGTGCGCAGCGCAAATCCAAGGCTCTGGCGCCGCGTCGCGCTCACGGCGACCATGGTCTTCAGACGTGTCCCCGCAGCGTCCAGGTACATGCTGTCGGTGAATCTCCGCCGCCTTTTCTTCGTAGGGTACGAGGCGCTCACGCGCAGCACCCTAGCCCAGATGCTGCAGATCTTGGACTTCAAAATCGAGCGGGAGAAGTCGCACCCCACGCAGTCGTGTGTTGAAGTCGCGCAGTCATGGAACTCGCACTTGCGAGACATCGACAGCAACGTGGAGGAGACAGTGTCACCGAACTTCGTTGCGGCGGCGATCCGGGTGTTCAACAAGATGCTCCGCAGTCCAAGGTTGATGGAGCTCCTCGTCGCAGAGGAGAACGAGCGGGGAAAGGCGTCCCTCTTCAACAACTCCAGCACCCTAGATGCTTTCGCTAAGGCCGCCAAGGACGAGGAATCCAGCTACTGGCTTGTGAAGACGGTGTTGTACCGGCTAGCTTTGGGGGACTCGCCCAAAGACTACGGCCTCAAGAATCTGACAGGAAAAGGGACCGGTGCCAAGGGTGATCTGCAGCTTTGGTTGATGAAGCTGGACCTGCAGCGCTACTTCGAGAAGTGGATGTCATCGGAGCCATCACTGCGGAAGGAGGACATCAAGGCGGTCACGGACATCGACACGCACGACAAGTTCATGCTGCGGTGCGGGCCGGAGGCCAACATTTCTTGGCAGGGCACGCTATCCAAAGCTGGACGCCTGCTCCTCCAGTTTAAGGATCACGTCATTTTTGGAAGCCGGGTCGACGGGACTCTCAAACAGCTGCTCAAGGCCCACTCGGACGCAGCAAGCCTCTGCTCGAGCGGCGTGCTCAAGGAGCTTCTTGATGAAATCATCTCCGTCGCCAAGAGCGAAGTGCCGGAGCACCAGGTGAGAGCAGAGCGGGCACAGATGGAGGCCATGGCGGAGAAGGACGCCGAGCAGCAGCAGCTGGAGAGCAGCGTCAAGGAGTTCGCCACGATTTTCAATGTGGACAGCACGGTCAAGTTTGCAGATGACGAGTCCAGGGACCTGTACGACTACAAGAAGCTGGCGGACTCTCGGTCTCTAGCGTTGCTGCTGGTGTTCAGTCCTAACAACGCAACAGAAAAAAAAAACGCGCTGAGAGCAAAAACCAGGGAGCACTCTGGTAGCTTTCGGTGTTGGGCTTCGCTAAGGGCTATTGGTTTCACGTAGGCGGGTCCGCCCAGGAGAAGAAGGTGGATCAGTTCTTCAAGGCCATCCCGGAGCAAGCCAACGCGAAGGACCTGCAGAAGGCGCTCGAGGGCACGGTCGCCAGGGACTCGGATGGTGTGGGGGCCGGCTCCACAATCTGTCTGTGGTACGACTCCAAGTGCGCGGGCGAGGCATCCAGCCAACCGCATTGCCGAGTCCCAAAGTTCCGCCAGAGCCACTTCCGCACCTTCCTTCAGGGCTGCCTGGGCGTGCGAAAGCTGACAAACCTGGATCCCAGAATGATAGTCTGCCTCTCCGACGGATTTAGGCCTGGATTGGAGAACAGCGCCACAACGGCGTTCGTCTTGGAAGACGGGACCTCCGTGTCAAAGCATCGAACCCTCTTCCACAACATCTACGATGCTGCCTCCCTCTCAGCCAGGAAGACGGTCGTCCGCGGCGTCATCCAGAACGTTGAGGGACTCCATGTGTTCTCCGATGCACCAACGCCGCCAGTTGGGGAGGGCAGTCGAGCCCACTACACCGGGGACTGCTCGTCCAGTGGAATTGGGCCGATCAAGGTGCCCGGCTATGACACCGAGGAGTGCTGGAGGCCGGACCCGAAGCTGAAGGCCAAGTTTCTCGGGAGCGGTGGCAAGGTTCTCGTGTCGGGACCCGGGCCGGCTGAGCCTGGCCCAGCTTTCGCGGACAAGTGCATGCCCCTCAACTTCTACACCATGCCGCGACTCTACTACCGCGAGATCCTTCACAGCTTTCGAGTTGGCAGGGTGATCTGTGGCACGGAACTGGATGGAAACTTCCCCCTGGAGTGCATCCTTCATCAGGTGCCCGTTGTCGCCGTCTGCCTCACAACGGACCTAGCAGTGGACCTCCGGTCTCACCTCATCAACATGATCATGAAGGAGATGGCCAAGCCGAAGAGCAGTGCCTACCAGTCGGGTCTGTCGCTAGGCAAGCATTTACAGGGGGG